ACAGAGAGAGAGAGAGGACAGAGACAGAGGTAGAGAGAGACAAAGAGTGATACAGAGACAGGAGACTTGTAAGTGGTCTTCCTACCATGCGAGTTTTGTATGCTGGAGGCCCAGTTATCAGTGGGACATCTTCCTTTTTCCAAACTGGCTAGATCGCAGGAGCCATGGAGCTGTCTGTCTCTTGAAGAAGGGCTGTTCCTGGGGGTTAGCAGTTTAACGTGGGCTCTGCGTACCACGGGCAGCTCACAGCATCACTTCAGCTCAGATTCCCAGGGCTCCGGTTTATTTCGTCAGAGCGGGCCGGGCTGATCGTGGGGTGGTGCTGGCTGGCCGTGTGGCCTCCGTTCTCGGGTACTTCCCCGGACTTGCTTTAGGGCGCGCATCTCGGGCAGCTCGTTAAACACGCGTTTGCGAGTCGGGCGTGGTTTCCACAGCTGTGCTGCTGAGAGCAGTGTCCCGTGGGCCTTCGCTACTTGATGGTGCTTTGTGTTGTGCTGTCCCAGGTTATACAGAAACTCAGTATGGACATAATTTTCGGACTGCTCATTTTGTCATTAACTGAGAGGTGTATATTAGGATCTTCCATTGTGTTTGTGGATACGTCTACTACGCATTATAATTCTGACAAGTTTTGCTTTTATTTATTTATTTATTAGTGATTTTTGCTATAGGGTGCATGTGCTCGCCAGAGAGACAGAGTCAGACAGAGACACAAAAAGCAAGAAATCACCCCCCTCTGGGGCAGTGTGCTCACACAGCAATCCCTTCTCCATTCTCTTGGGGTTTTGGCCATGTACACACACATGCCTGATGGGAGTTTCAGGGTCTGGATCCAGGACTTGAACCATGGTTGGCTACGTGGAGTCCAGTCCTTGAGCACTATAGCACCTGCTGGCCCCACTTTTTCAAGATACTGGGGCTAAGGTTTGAACCATGGCCAGCCGTGTCAGATCCAGCTTACTTAACCACTAGGCTAGTGAGCCAGCTTGCATTTTTGTTCTGTTTTAGGTTTTTGCAATAGGGCAGGTGCACTTGTCAGAGGGACAGAGCGGGAAAATGAGACACCCACCCCCCCGGTGACTGTCTGCAGTGTCTCCCCTTCCTGTCAGGATTTAGGGCAGGTACACACAGCCTCAGTGTGAGTTTCAAGGCCCTGGGCCCAGGACTCCAACTGTAGCTGGCCACGTGGGGATGGAGTGGCTTACCCACTGTGCCATCTGCTGGCCCCCCACGTGCCTCGGCCTTCAAGGGGTGGACGTGGACCTCGAGTGGGAGTGCGGCGGGTGTGGGGAGGACGGATTGACACGAGCAGAGAAAAGCGGCACCGGGCTGTCCGGGCATCCTGATGGAGCTTGTCGGGGTCCCGAGCCTTTCCCAGGTGTGTTCTTTGGTAGAGCGATGGGGAGGGAGAAGCGAGAGGTGGATCCGGGAGTTCTGTCGCTGCCTGCAGCCATGGGGCGTCTCGCACCCCATAGGTCTGGACAGGTCTTGGCCTTGGCTTTGGCCTTCTCAGTGACTCTCTGCTCCCAGTACTTCACACTGCGGGCAGCGCTAGCCTCGCCTTCCTTATAGCTGTCTCTTGCCCTGCAGTGTCCGCAGGAAGACAATGTCTACTTTTTAAACAGACTATTAGTTATTAATTTATTACTATTCAATTTAACTAGAGAGGCAGAGGGAGAGTGAAAGGGAGAAAGCAAGCCACCAGGTCTAGGACCGTGGGCAAACCGTGGTCAGCCACGTGGGAGTCCAGCCACGTAAGAGCCGTGCCGCCCGCCAGCCCTGACACGTCTGCTTCTAAGGTCACTGGTGTCCTGTGCAGATCTGGCCGCTTCCTGCACCCACATGTTTGTTTGTTTTGTTTTGTTTTGGAGAGGTTTTTGCTATAGGGTGTGTGCATTTGCCAGACAGACAGATAGAGACAGAGAGACAGAAAGCGAGAAATCACCCCCCAGGGGGATGGCCATGCCACAATTCCTTCTCCTCCATTCTCCTCTTGGGATCTTGAGAACGCACACACGTGCCCGGTGTGTTTAAGCCACCAGGTCCAGAACTGAACCATGGTTGACTACATGGGGAGTTCAGTGACAGCCATTACGCTAACTGCTGGTCCTCCACATATGTTTTTTGATGTCTGAGTCATCCCACCTTTGGCCAGGGAGAGCTTCTTTTATTTTTTTTGAGAGAGGTTTTTGCTAGAGGGTGTGTGCGCTCGCCAGACAGAGACAGAGAGACAGAAAGTGAGAAATCCCCCCCAGGGGGGATGGCCATACCGCAATCCCTTCTCCTCCATTCTCCTCTCAGGATCTTGGGCGCGCACGCACATGTACCCGGCATGAGTTTAAGCTGCCGGGTCCAGGATTCGAACCGCAGTCGACTGCATGGGAGTCCAGTAACAGCCATTACACCAGCTGCTGGTCTCAGGAGAGCTTCTCTCTTTACCTTTAACTCCTGATATTTTGACCGACACCAGCAGATTTCATAGCCTTCTACTATAACAAGAAGTTTCAGGCTTGATTTTCTATTTTATGCTCTGAGTGCAGTTTTTATTCGTTGAAGTTCTATTATTGGAATATGGCATCTGGATACCACAGTTTGGGGACTCACTATTGCATTGTTCGATTTGGTCCGGGTTCTCCAGAGAAGCAGAACCAGCAGGATAGCTGTATGAAAGAGGGGTTGATTATATGAACTAGTTCACACACTGAGAAGGCGGAGGGGTCCCACCCAGGGCTGTTTGCAAGCCGGGAAACAGCTGCAGGGCTCCGAGACAGGGAAAGCTGGGGCGATTTGCCCGAAGCCTGGCAAGGGCTCTGTCAAGGCCCGGGGCCTGAGCACTCTCCGTGGCCACTGGTGTGAGTTCAGGGTCTGAAGGTTAAAGAACTAGCATCTGTCTTGCTGGAGCCAGCAGGAACACAGGAAGCCAGGGTCAAGTGAGGGGCAGGGGTGGGGCAGGCAGAGCTGCAGGGAGAGGCAGGGGAATGGAGAGTTGGAGCAGACCCCCCACTGCCTGTGTCCTCCCAGGCCTCCAGCCACTTGCACGGTGCCCACCTGCACGGACAGTCTTCTTGTCAGCCCACTGGTGCACGTTCTGTCTCGTCCGGCCCTGGGCTCGCAGGCGACCTAGGGTACCATCCTACAAGCCTTCCAGACGCCGTTGGTGCAGTCAGGGTGCTGCCTAGGTTACTGTTGCTGTTGGTTATTTTAGGACTTTTCACAAGAAAGATCTGGAATATACTTTTACAAATTGCTACAGGACACATGAGCTTGCCAGAGGGAGGGAGAGAGAAAGTGAGAAGCTCCCCCCGGGGGGATGGCCACACAGCAAGCCCTTCTCCGTTTTCCTCGCGGGATTTGGGGCATGCACACACATGCCCAGTGTGAGTTTGAGGCCACTCAGTCGGGGACTCACTCTGTCCCTGCGATGTGTGGTGTGTCCCACGCAGCTCATTCCTACACTGGGAGGCACATGGAGTGAGCCTCTGGTTAATGCCCAGCTGGATACAGAGTTACATTCATTTATTTTCTTTAGCTATCTTTTTAAAATCTCTAATTTTGTTTTGTAATTGTGTAAAACATTTACATAGTTGCAGAGTCACACGTAGAAACCAAACCCGCCATGGTGCTGGTGCTGCAGTACTGTGCTGCTCTGCGTGCAGACTGCATGGGCCATGCCCTGCCTGGTCCCCGCGTGGGCTGCACCCTGCCTGGTCCCCGTGTGGGCCAGCGCCCTGCCTGGTCCCCGCGTGGGCCGCGCCCTGCCTGGTCCCCTCGTGGGCCGCGCCCTGCCTGGTCCCCGTGTGGGCGGTGCCCTGCCTAGTCTCCAGTGTGCGCCAGCTGCGTGTGCACATGCTCAGGACCCTGGCTGGCTGAAGAGGGCTTAACACTGGCGTGACGACCCTGATGGGTGCCTTTCTGCCTCCCTCTCAGAAGTGAGTAAAACTTTAGAAAAGTCTAGAAAACACAGCTCATGCGGAGAAGTCCCTCTGTGACCCTGTCTCCTGGCCTTGATTCCTGTCCTGTTGTAGAGACTTTTGCTGGTTTGGGGCACGTCCTTGTGCCTACGAGCAGCAAGCGTGCTTTGTAAGTGTTGGGAGTGTGTTTACACACATGCCTGTGGCCTCACATCCTGGGGTGACCCTGTCTCCCTCTGATAGCTGGTCAGGAAGGACGGCTGGTGGCCTCCCTGTCAGCCTCGTGCCTGATGGCGCTGTGGCTCCCTGTGGCTCGTTCCACGTGTGAGCTGGTAGTCTGGGAGTGTCCCTCGGAGCGGGCTGGCTGTCCACGCATGCGTGTCAAAGCCAGGTTTGTTTAAGTTTGGCGGCCGGGTATGCGGTGCTCAGACCCTCGCCGGTTTAACCGTTGGGGTGGTTATTACCGTGACGTTTTCTATCGGGATAGCATGCTCGGGATGGCAGTGGGCACGCTCGGGATGGACCTCGGGTGATCCTCAGTCGCTCCTTATGACAGATGTCCCAGAACCGGACGGCGGGGCAGGCGTCCGTGTGCCGGGCTCACCGGAGCCAGTGGGCAGGGCAGGTGTACACATGCCCAGGTTCACTGAGGCAGGACGGTGGGGCGGGCGTCCACGTGCCCGGGCTCAGCCCCCGAATGTGCTGGTACTTTCCCCCTGCCTCCTCGCCCACCGCCCCTTTCCTTGCCCCGACCCGTTTCCTCCCTGGCTCTGACCTGTGGCTCACACCTCTTCACTGGCTCTAAAGCTTGAGGCAAGTGTGAGCCCTTGTGCTGAGCCCCCTGGTCCCCAGCGTCCCCACACTTCTTTCCCTTCCACCACCCGCTCCCCAGCCCCACCAAGCCCCACGTAGGTCTGGCACTCTGCTGCCTCCTGCCCCAGCCGGTAAGCTGCCTGTGGGGGGCCACGTGGCAGGCGGCCATCGGCCAGCCCGGAAGGAGGGCTGAGGACTCAGATGGGCGCTGTTCCTGTCTCACAGATGGGGTGCAGGTTCTGGGAGTGGAACGCCCCTCCTGGCCCCGTCTCTGGCCTCCCCACCTTTCCCTTGTGTTGTGTCCTCGCCATGCCGTGACCGCCACCTCCTTCAGTGCCGTCTCATAGCCCACCTGGCAGCCGCTGCTGCTCTGAGGCCCTCTGGGCTTGCTCCTCCTCTCCCACCCTGTGGCAGCGTCTGGGAGGGCCTGGGGGTGGCACCCGGGCTCCTGGGAAGCAGCTGGCTCCTCCCCTGTCTCGTCCTCATCCTTCCCTTCTCCCCTTCTCCTTGTCTCCTGCTCTTTCTCCCTCCCTTCTCTCCCAGGTCTTTCCTCGATGCTTCTCTTGCTCCCTTTTCTCAGCTCACACCTGCCTGGGTCACCCCCAAACGGCTTACATACCTCTGACACGTGTTCGCCCTGAGGCCCTGGGCCTCCCCGGAGAGGCCCCTCCTTGCTCCCAAGGCACATTCTCCGCTGGCGTCTTGAACTCTGCGCCCTCGTGTGCTGGGGGGAGGCGGTCCAGTGTGGGGCGCTGAACGTGCGCAGACAAGCGTGCATCTCCGGGACGCCCCTCTTATGCACCTCTGCTGAGCTCCCTGGGGGCCTCCTGGACCTTTCCCACAGGGGCTGTACAGAGCCGACGAGCGCTTCGGCCCGGGCGTGGAGACCTACCCCGACGGCAGCCAGGACGTGGGGCTGTGGTTCCGGGAGCACCTCATCAAGCTGTGCTCCGAGCTGCCCAGCAGCTTCTCCCTGCGGGACTACCCCGAGTTCTCGGCCTTCCTCACACATGCGCCGGCCAGGGTCTGCCTCCTGGAGGACAGGCCGTTCTGGGACCTGAATGAAGAGCGGGACCCCTTCTTCTACGAGTACAAGCGCTTCCTCCTGGACGACAGCCTGACGCTGCCTCCGGAAATGCACGTGTACTCCACGGACAACTGCCACCTGCCCGTGCCACACTCGTTCCGCGAGGAGCTGGACTCCCGGATCTTCGTGAACGACATCCCTCCGTTCGTCGAGGACGGAGAGCCCTGGTTTATAACGAACGAGACCCCTTTGCTGGTCAGAATCCAGAAGCAAGCCTACAAGTTCAGGTGGTCGCCCTATCCCCACCCGACCCCACGCGGCATCCTCCTGCTGGACAGGAGTCACTTGGAGGGGCCCAGAGCCCTCTGGTGGCAGCTGCCACTGACACAGCAGCCCTCGGGGCGCTCCCTGGGCCATGTAGCTGTGCTGCCTGATGATGGGACGTGCTCACAAGACGAGGGGGCTCCCTCAGTGGGGAGGGCTGCGGGGGCGCCAGGCAGGGCTGCAGGGCCACCTGTGTCCATGCAGGGGTGGGGGGCCTCAGGCTCCCAGTTGGGAGGTTGCTTGGTGAGGATACAGCCAGGGTAGCCCGAGGCTGGGGTAGAGTCCTGGAAGGAGGTGTGGCTTAGGACCAGCTCCTGAGTGGACGGCACAGAGGGCAGGCCCTGGCTCTGGGGCCGTGCAGCCTTCCTCTGTGTAGGTGTGCCCGAGTTCCGGGTCACAGTCGTGACTCAGTGTTTTCTGAGCCCAGTGCTGGCTCAGGGTCAGCATGGACAAGGGGTTGTGACCACCTTCACGTGTGAAAGTGACATCTGGCCTGGAGCCCGGAGTCCAAGTGCCAGCAGAAGTGGGGCCTGGCTGCTGGCTGGGCCCAAGACAGCAACTCTGCTGGTTTCCAGAGACCTCTCCTACCTCTCACAGCCCGAGGAAGTCAGTCACCTATGGAAAATGGTTTTTAACAGAGTATTCAAAGCTTTTTTTCTAAGGGAAAGTTTTACTATAGGGTGTGTGTGCTTGCTGGAAAGACAGACACAGAGACAGAGAGCAAGACATCACCCCCCTCCCCCTAGGGGAGATGGCCACGCCACGGTCTCTTCTCCATTCTCCTCTCCGGATCTTGGGCACGCATGCACACATGCCTGGTGTGAGTCTTAAGTCACGGGTCTGGGACTCGAACCACAGTCAGCCATGTGGGAGTTCAGTGAAGTAACCATTACTCCATTTGCTGGTCCCCAAGAAAAATGTTTTTGGAGAGATTTTGGCTATAGAGCATGTGTGCCCACCAGAAGGATGGAGACAGAGAAAGCAAGAAGTCACCCCTCAGGGGGATGGCCATGCTGTAATCCCGTCTCCATTTTCCTCTTGGGATTGGCATGCACACAGTTGCCTGGTGTGAGTTTGAAGCCGCTGGTCTGGGATTTGAACTGTAGTCGACTATGTGGGAGTCCATCACCATAACTACCACACCACCTGCTGGCCCGTCGAGGAAGATTTCAATCCTTCCACTCAACTGTATCCTCATATGTCACTAAATTGTTTACGAGCATATTGCTGAGCACCAGTGGCACCTTTCCTTCCAGCCACCCGTCCCCCATCCCTCTCCCGCTGCCCCGATAAATGCATGGGTCTGCCTACCAGTCCTTTCACCTCCCCACCCACTTACTCCTGCAGCCGGCCATCTGTCAGCCTGTGCTTTCACCCATCCTTCCACCTACCCGCTCATTTTCCCCGCCACCTGTCCGTCTGTCCTCTCACCCTTCTGTCCTTTCATCTCTCCACCCATTTTTCCAGCCAGCCAGACACTTGTCTGTCTGGTCACTTGTGCATCCATACAACCACCCAGCACGCAGACCTCAGCTGAGTGCCTAATTCCTGATGGCCGCTGGGCAGAGTTGACAGACAGCTGTGATTTTCTGGTCACGAAGGGGTTCTGTGCACACAGCAGGCTGGGTCATGTGCACGGCTGTAGGACACGCACGTTCTCTGCTCAGAAGGCGAAGAGCCGTGGGCAGGACGTGGGCGCTGGGTGCTAGACCAGTGTGCGTCTCAGCCTCCTCCCCACCCGGGGCCCGTTCCCAGCCATCCCAGAACGGCCTGAGTGAGATGTCCTGAGTGCACACATGGCCCACGTTCCCGCCGGGGCAGGCACTGGCCTGAGCGTGTTGGGTGGCATGTCCCTGCCGCTGCGCACATCCACAGTGGTCACCATGTGGCCGCCAGGGCTCAGGTGCCTGAGGAGTCGCTCCGGAGAGAGCAGTGGGGCCTCAGGCTGTGCGGATGGTTGGGGATGGAGAGAGGAGAGGTAGACGGAGGGCCACCCTGGGCCCTTCCTCGGGTTAGGTGGTGGAGGCGGCCCGGAGCCCCGGACAGCCCTGAGGCTTGCTGTGCTGGCAGGAACAAGAAGGCACATACCAGCTGGAACATGGGTGCCATCCTGGAGGGGAGGCGCAGAGGCTTCGCTCGCCGCGGGCCCTTGGAGCGGCTTGCCAAGGGCATGATCCTGAAGGCTGAGGAAGGGGACTACAACTGGGTTTACGGGATCCTGAGGGACAGCCTTGCCAGTGCTGATGTCGCCGACGCGAAAGGCTACACCGCACTTGCCGCGGCTGCTGTAAGTGCCCCACCCCTGCTGGCGCTGCCCACGGGAGTGCCCACCTGGGAGGGCCTCCCGCTTCCCCTGCAGGGACAGAGCAGAGGTGGGTGGGAGATGCCCACACCCACTGCATACAACCCTCACCCAGGCGCGACTCGCACGGTCTGATGGAGGGCAGGCTGCGTGTGCTGCGTGTCACAGCCACGTCCCTGCGGAGCCTACGCACGGGTGCTGGGCCCTGCCCTGGGCAGGTGGCCTTCTGGAGGGTGGCATGGGTGCCAGGTGACCCTCCCCACCCCGGCTGAGTGGCAGCTACTGTCCTCGTGAGTCTGGTCCTGTGCCCCCAGGTTCATTGTCACGACGACATCATCGGCCTGCTCCTGGACTGCGGGGCGGACGTGAACAAGAGCACGGACGAGGGCCTGACGCCGCTCAGCATGTGCTTCCTGCTGCACTACCCCAGTGCGTGCTTCAAGGCCAACATCGCCGAGCGGACCGTGCCCGAGCCCCAGGTGCGCCGCCGCCCGCCCCAAGTGCCCCCCAGCCACCGCGGGTTCCGAGGCAGGTGCAGGAGCACGGCAGAGCCTGGGGACCCCCTGCAGCATCCCGAGCCCTGTGGATGCGTGTCCTTTGTGAGCTGTGGGCACGCAGACCGGTCCTGAGATCTGCCCCCGCGCGGTGTTCTGGAAACAGGATGCTGTCACCGTGCAGCACACCCACAGCAGACCCTGGGGTGAGGACACCCGTGAAGACCCGCGGCCCAGCAGAACAGGAGAGCGTGACACCTGCAGAGCTCAGCGTGGGCCTTGGTGTGAGCTCAGGCGCCCGCTGACTTCCTGGACTCCGTGTAGGCCCAGCTGCCACGGCGCACCAGGCAGGCCCTGCCGCACAAGGCTGGGTGCCACTGCAGCCTGGGCTCTGCTCCCAGCCTGGCCTCCACACCCCGGTGCAGAGGGCTCAGTAGTCCGACAGCTGGGGGTGCGTAGGGGAGTGGCGGCTTGGCAGACCGTCAGAAATACCGCCGTTTTGTCTTTCCTTACGTCCCTCCCTCTCATGAAAGGAAATAACAAAGATTAAAAATGTGAAGTAGGTGGGATTGGCCTTAATACGCCACGTTGTTCAGCCAGTAGAACCACGCATGCGGTTGTCCTGGGGTGTCGTCGGTGTGCAGGCCTGAGACAGCTCTTCCAGGCTCCCCTTCACGCCACAGTACACCCTGGTGTGGACAGGCTCACGGGCAGGACTGTGGCGCAGCATGGTGCCCTGGTGTGGACAGGCTCACGGGCAGGACTGTGGCGCAGCACGGTGCCCTGGTGTGGACAGGCTCACGGGCAGCACCCTGTGGCCCAGCATGGTGCCCTGGTGTGGACAGGCTCACGGGCAGGACTGTGGCGCAGCATGGTGCCACCTCAGGCATGTGCTTCTTTGTGGACCCCCAGGGCTCTCCTCCCTTGGAGGCTCTGTGGAAAAGGACTCGCGGTTCCACCCTGGTCCCCTCTGCCTCACTCTGGAGATGAGGCTCTGGGTCCCCTGCAGGACGTTGTTGAGGGGGTCCTCCAGCTAGTATCTTTTTAAAAAGTTTATTGTGGGGGAGGGGAGGGAGGAGAGAGAGAAGAGAGAAGGGGTGGAGGGGAGAGAGAGAGAGAGGAGAGGGGAGAGAGAGAGAGGAGAGAGAAGGGGTGGAGGTGGCAGAGAGAGGAGAGAGAAGGGGGAAGGAGGAGAGAGAGAGAAGAGAGGGGAGAGAGAGGAGAGAGACGGGGGGAAGGGGGAGAGAGAGAGAGGCGAGAGGGGAGAGAAAGAGAGGAGAGGGGAGAGAGAGAGAGGAGAGAGAAGGGGGAGGGGGGAGAGAGAGAGAAGGGAGGGGGGAGAGAGAGGAGAGAAGTAAGGAGAGAGGAGAGAGAAGGGAGGAGGAGAGAGAGGGAAGGGGGAAGAGAGAGGAGAGAGAAGGGAGGGGGGAGAGGAGGGAGGGGGAGAGAGAGGAGAGAGAAGGGAGGGGGAAGAGAGAGGAGAGAGAAAAGAGGGGGAGAGAGAAGTGGGGAGAGAGGAGAGAGAGGGGAGGGGGAGAGAGGAGAAGTGGGGAGAGAGGAGAGAGAAGCACCCCCACAGGGTCTTCACTCCAGCCCCAGCCCCAGCCCCGGCCTACCCAGGCCACAGCACGCACGTGCTTGCTCCGTGTGCACAGAGGCGCCTTGGGAGGAGGAGAACCCAGGACCTCGCCATGTGGTCCAGCATACGGGCGTCACTGCCCTACGGCCAGCCGGCCCCAGACCTCTGATCTCTTCTAATGCCACTGTTTTTTGGCACTTCCTAAAGGACCCTGCAAAGTCCCTCATCATCCGGAACTTGTCGTTCCTGTTCCCGGAAATGAGTGTGGAGTCGCCCTATCGCGAGGTCAGAGGACCCTCCCAGGACAGCCCTGAGCCCAAGCAGCTGCTGCATGTCCTGGGCCGTGAGGACGACGGCCACCTCCGGGGCATCCGGCCGTCTCTGGAGTCCATCGCCAAGAAGAGCTCTCACGGGGGCAGCGTGGGCGAGGCAGAGAAGGGACTGGAGGACGTGGCGGAGGACCTGGACAGGAGCTCTCTGTGCAGCAGCGAGACCGACTTCGAGTCCGACATCTCTGTGTACAACTACTCGGTCGTGCCCTCACGGGGCATCGTGGAGAAGACTGCTCAGGCCCACAGCCTGCTCAAGGGCTCCTCTCTGGATGCCACCAGCTCCGACCAAGAGACCGTGAGGAGGCTGGCGCTGTCCATGACCACGTGAGTCACAGGTGGCTCATCGGCCTGCGTCCACCTGTGTCCCTGTGCTGCCAGGCTGTCTCCGAGGGCTGTATCGGTGCTGGCACACCCACCCAGGGGCCTGCACGTCGACGGCATGGTGCTCCCGGGAGCCCTGGGCACGGCTACAGACGTGGGCCCTGGGTGGGCACATGGGGACAGGCCTGAGTGCCCCACCTGGCCCCTGCCCACGTTGTCTAGACCAGTGGTCTCAAAACATGGCCCATGCAACCGGTGCAGGATCCTCTGGGGTGTCTGCGAGGTGGACACTGTTCTCGTACCGACCCCGAGATGCTGGCCGCAGACCGCGAGGAGCTGGACCGCCAGCCCCACCCTGCGCTGGGGAACTTCTTCCCCACTGCACACGTGCCCTTGCTGGGCCCGCCCCTTCCAGGACACGAGTGCCGCAGTGGTGACATTCTCGTTATCACGTCTCGGCCCCCCACGTTCCTGGACACGGCGGGAAACGCTCCAGCGGGCCAGAGCACAGTGGTCTCCTGGAGTGGCTTCCTCAGGGCCCCCAGCCCCAGCCCTGCCGCTGCCGCGAGCACCGGCTTCATTCAAGGAAGACAACCTG